TACTGATAATAATATATATTTAAGTGCAAAATTAAATTTTAGATTTATTACATTTCCTACTTAAAACAATATTTTTTTTAGGTATCTATAGGTTTTTAAGTACCTACCTATAGGTACTAAAGTATAAATACTACATATTTAAAAAAAACAATACAGTTATATGGTTGCAAACGGGCGTAAAACTCCTAAATTTTCTTTATTAATTTAAAAACGTGAAGAAAATTTAGAAGCATGTTCTTCTATTAAAATCATAACAAGTTTTATTAAACTAGTTTCTGTTGTTGCTTCTTCCTTTCGAGAAAATATATTAAAGGATAAATAAACTTTTATAAAATATATTAAATATACACGGATGGACTTTTACTATACTTGTAAAAATATTTATTTTCAATTTCTCGAAGAAAAGTCACTCCTCATGATTTCTTCTGCTTGTTATATAAATACCATTCACGATGAGAAACTTCTATTTTGTTATACAGGGTGGGCAAAAAATACAATTGTAGATTTTGCAAAATTAAAAACTGCCAAAAAATGTTTTGAAGGTCTAATATGAAGAGCTTTTAAGGATAAACCAAAAAGCCAAATAAACTTTTTTCATGTGAGTTGTTGTTAGGTCCTAACTTGAGTGGTCCTATTATTTTGTAGAAATTGACTGCTATCTCATTTTGTGATTATAAATCAAGGTTGTTGCTTTCAACTGACATGTCTACAATGTCTACAATTATTTGTTAAAATTTGAAAACTATAGTTTACAACATTTAACGTAACACAGTATTGGCGTTATGTAACATAGGAGTCACATTGCAATGTAACGATGTTACTAAAATGCAACGCAACAGGTACCTAAAATAATGGTAACATTGTTACTGTTCCAAGTTAACCAATAGGCAATATAACAATAACGTAACATTGCGATACTATTGTAATGTAACAAAATTACCAATAAGCAATATAACAGCAACGTAACATTGTGAAACTATTGTAATGTAACAAAATTACCAATAAGCAATATAACAGCAACGTTACATTGTGAAACTATTGTAATGTAATAAAATTACCAATAAGCAATTTAACAGCAACGTAACATTGTGAAACTATTGTAATGTAACAAAATTACCAATAAGCAATATAACAGCAACGTAAAATTGTGAAAGTATTGTAATATAACAAAATTACCAATAAGCAATATAACAATAACGTAACATTGTGAAACTATTGTAATGTAACAAAATTACCAATAAGCAATTTAACAGCAACGTAACAAAATTACCAATAAGCAATATAACAGCAACGTAACATTGCAATACTATTGTAATAAGTTTGTTACGTAACAGTTACATTTATGTTACTTAACAAACTTATACGTATACACATCATTTAAATCTCGCTCGTGTTACCACCACGTCGTGGTGACCACGACCAGGTATATAAACGAAGTTAAGACAGCGCACCATGTCCATTTGTCATTGGACCTCAAACAGTCTGCCTGATTATGGGAAAGTCAGAATACGATATTATGTATCATGGGATACGCTTTAGCGTTAAATTGACGGGACTTTCTCATGTCGAGCACAATAACGTTGCAACGTAACAATGTTACATAACAGTAAAGGCCATGTTGTGTAACATTTCTTGAATTGCGAAAAAGTAACGGCAACGTAAAATTGTTACCTATTTGCAACCATCAGGTTTTGTAACTGTAATGTTACATAATGCGATTGTTGCATAACATTTTGGTTAATTTTACGTTACAGTTATGTTTCACTTTCATAACGGCAATGTAACATTGTAATCCATTAAAAAATTACATAACAACAACATATCAATTATAATGCATTTATGTAACGACAACGTAACATTGTTATGTAACAATGTTACTTAAAAAAGCGGGAAATAGGAACCTATTTGCAACCCTAAGCTTATGTAACTGTAATGTTACATATAACGATCGTTGCATAACATTTTGGTTAATGTTACGTTACAATGTTGACCTGGTAATATCTTAAATTTTCAATATCAAATATCTTAGTATCAAAAAGTCATATGAAAAAACTTCATTTGACTTTTTGATTTCTCCTTACCAGCTCTTTATATTAGCGCTTCAAAAAAATATATTTAAAAATTTTTTATTTTGAATATCTGTATTTTTGCTCACACTGTACAATAAAATGGATGTTTCTCAACGCGAATCGTATTTATATAACAAGCAAAAGAAATTTTGAAATAGGACATCTCAAAAAATTGAAAATAAATATTTTTAAAATTTATTTATTATTATAGATTATAAATTTATAGGACACGTGTCCTAGATTTTAGTAACAGGACTTTACTACACAGAAAAAACGCTAGCATAGCATGAATAGGTGAGCCATTAAACCAATGGGATCTTGTAATCCGTATTCCTGAATAAATGTTCCTATAATACCAATAGGTAGTTAGCACTTGGTTTATAATCGTTTACTGTTTTTAAATTAACAACAAAAGTTATCGCTTCTAAATCTATTGATATTTATATTGATATTTATTTGTTAGAATGGTAGAATGTTATTGAATTAAATACTAATTTGATTTATTTAATAACGTTACTATTGTATGTATACTATGTATACATTTAACGCAATAAATTCTTTGACATTTAGGCAAAATATTTCCCTATTTTGGTTTAATAGTAATTAATTGAGCAAATAACAATTTAGATTGCTTCAATTTTAATGCATTCAATTACAGCGCTGTTCTTGGTACTATGTTAGATTTTTTTCTGTGTAGCGTATGCAGAAAGTTATTTTATCTAATACAGTTTTTATGAACCTATGTCCAAATATTGCTCCTTTCTGACATACAGGGTGTTAAAGTTATATAATAGTTTGTAATGTTTTATTTAAAATCTTTCAAAATATAAAAGATAGGTACATTATTTTAATTTGATATGTACTTGTATCCAAAGAAAATACATTATTTAAAGTATTTTTGTTTTAATTATCGTACCGTGTCTATTTTTTCCTGATCATTTGGTATTTACCGTAACAACTTTTTTTACGTAATTAAGTTTGATAATAAAATAAATTTCTTAGTATTATAACACAATTTGTTGTTTCCTATTTTTTATATCTTCCTTCTGTTAAAGTTATTAAGAAAAATAGGAAATTTCACAAAAGAATCATTTTCTTTAACTAAAAACTTAATAAGCTATACTTTTTGGGAAAAACATTTTTTAGTTTAAGCATATTAAAAACGTGGTCAAAATAATAAAAATAAATTTAAAAAAATGAGTTTTTAAAATTTTTGCAATATGCAATATAAATGATCTAGAAGTAACAAAATATAAAAAAACAGAGTGACAAAAAGTTTTGTTCATAGACCAATGCATCTAATTGTATTATTAAATTTAACCAGCGGGGAACGAAAAAAGTATGGTTAGTTTAAAATTTATACTAACTGGAAAAATATGCACCGGTAATATAGTTTTAAAAACATAAATACTTTAAATATTGTATGTCTATTAGATATATTAAATTTAAATAATTTTTTTTATACTTTAAAATATATTAAAGAAATAATTTTTTTTATACTTTAAAATATATTAAAGAAAATCCCTCAAAATATCTTAGAAGGAAGCACTATTTGGAAATAACTTCAAAGGAACTTTAGTTTTTAATAAACTTCTACATGCGCTGGTCACTTAAATCTGGAACACCTTGTATATTTATAATAAATATTAATCATATTTAAAAAAACAAATATTAAAGTTAAAGTTAAATATGTGCACCAATATCGTTTTAGATTTATATTTGTATTTACGAATGATAATGTATACATTATAAGTTAATTATATTATTAAAAATACACGACATTAATAAATTATGGTTGTTTGTGTATTTTAAACTTTAAAAGGGTATTTTAAATTGCAAATAAAGTATAAACACAAAAGCTAAAAATCGAGGATATTGTATAAAATCAATTATTTTTAACAAAATATATTTAACAAATTTCCTAAATAAAAAAATATGTCGTGAGAGTTTAGTTAGTAGACTTACCTGGTAAATTGAGCCGTTGAAGTAGAATGGTTGGGATTTCTTGTCGATAGTAAAAACAAACCAAAAGGAATGAATAGTTTCACAAGGTGTTACGATGAGCACCAGGATATGATAGAGCGATTTAGGCCGATCTTTCGACACCTGTTACCGTTGCCGCCTTTGTCGTCACGCAATTCACTAGCACACTTAAATTTATTTGCACTTATTTATGGGAGATTTTTATTACTTCGGTAGGTAGTAAGAACAATTGTTATTATTATTATATGTAATACATATAGGTATGTATTCTGGTTTTTACTATAAAATACGTGAAAAGATATTTTTCAGAGAATCAATTAGTTAAAAAATATAAACTGGATTTTTTTTAGGGGCCAAAATGAAATTGTACCTTCTGTTGTCTGTCTGTCATTGTCTGAAAAATACTATATGAGAAATTGAGAAATAAGTGATATATTTTTTAATACCCATTATAATAAAGAACAGTTACGGTACGCAACTGTTCGTTATTATAATTCACAATGGGTATTAAAAAATATATCACTTATTTCTCAATTTCTCATATAGTATTTTTCAGACAATGAAATAATTCAAAAAATTATGGAAAGGCTACCTTTTCCATACAAAGTAAGTTTTTAAGCGTTTTAAAGTTTTGTTTTATGGTTGTTTTCAGACCAAACGATTGTTGATTTAAGTCGCGTATGCCACATCAGCATATACCTCACCCTCAATGGCATATATAGGTTTGGGGACGTATGGGGGGCATAGCCTGTGGTTCCTCCCTGACCCTATCGACCCCACTCTTCATGTATGGGTTATAAAAGTTGTTTAGTTTTACTAATTAAAAATAATTTAAGTCTCAATTGGTTATTATTATTATTTTTTAACCCTCCTTCATGTAATTATGTCGAGTTATAAAAACCTCAAAATATTTTGATTTGAAATACGTATGCAAGTATAGATACTTACCAAAATTATCCTTCCGCGGGGACACGAGTGAAATGTAGGTATAATCCTCGCAGAATCGTTAAATACGTCATCTTCGTTAAATATTCTTATTGTCACGTTTTCATTAATGTAAAAGTTTTAACTCCACTTCTTCATAATAAAGATTTCCACAAACTTTATATCCAACCTTTACAATTCTCCCTATCTGTATAGGTCTGTACAAGCGAAAATGTAGATTACTCCTAAAATACATATACAAATACATACTCGCACGACATTTCCAGCGCAATTTGGCGATGAGTTATCATCTTGTGGTCCGTCCAAAGGGGGAGGGGGTTTTCATATTAGCCAAACTGAATTGGATAGTATACAAACTATCCAGCTATTTTAGTTTCCCTAATAATTTCAAGTAAATTAGCCAAGATCCTTGGTTATTTTGTAAACTAGCCGCTAATTTATTTGAAAATACATTTTCAATTAAAATAGCTGACAGTTTGGCTAGTTTATAAACTATCCAGCTAGTTTATAAACTATCCAAGTTTGCACATTAGTCGTAACATATATACAGAATGATTCTAGGCATAGACAAATGGAATAACTTACCCTTCTCTGTCAGCTAACTCACTCATTATTTAATAACAATATATAAAACGACAGTAAAAGAATCTGATGAAAAGAAATATATTTATATATATATATATATATATATACGTCGTGCCTTTTTAAATAAAAATTACAAGGATGGAGAACCGCAATCTCTATTTTGATAATTAAATGCTTTGTGTAAATTTATATGGTTTTCGATAAATCGCCATGTAGTGGGTAGTCGGATGCCGATAAGAAGAAAACACGCAAACAGGATGCTATTTCCTTTTAATCATTTTTATCCTCGTACCCCATGTTTCGATCCTCCTTTTCTATGTTTCAAATTATATCATTGAAAAAACATTATTTCAAACTTTTGAAGACTGGTAGAATTGTGTGCGTAAAATATGAGCAAAGATGTTTTTAAACCTAGTTTTAATTGAGTTGGTAATCGACCCTAAAAAGAAATATTTAGCATGGACAGGGGCGTACCGAGGCACACTTTTTTTGGGGGGGTGGAGACGATAAAAAAAAACAACTTATTTTTTTATCGATACTTTAGTAGTAATAGTAAAAATTTTCAGTAGTTTTATCATGAATGTAAAGTGTTGTAAAGTGTAGATAAAGAATGTCTTTACCTATCATTAGCATGCTCTTTTGAAGTCTCTATTTTTTTATTTGCTACCAATGTAAGTGGATTATCTGTAACAGTAACAATGTGCATTTTTTTCTAGTCCTTGTTAAACACAGATCCACATAATGAGCATTTTACTAGAACTCGGCCCGGTCTAGATTTCTTTTCCATATTAAAAAAAAATTAATTCCTATTTATTGACACTAGTTTTACTTAGCTTAGATAAGCTTCAACTAATTAATAATTTAGAAAGACAAAGCCGCGAGGCGGTGCCGACTTTGTACTTGCCGCTTGTGTGAAATATAATGTCCTTTAATAAAAATAAGGTTGACCAATACAATTTTCTTGACGGTGATTAAAGGAGGTTACAATAGATTAAAAATTATAATTTTGTAATTTGTAGGTAAAGTTTAAAAATTATATTTCATTTTATTTATTGTGATGGGTTGGTTGGTAGGGTAGCAGTGGCGGCGATAAGAATTCGGGGGCCCCCCCGCCAAAATTTTCTCGGACATGTGGTAATAAAATCTGGAAATACTGGAATTTTATCTAAGATGCTAAATTGTAAGAAAAAATCTCGGATATATCTATAGATTTTGTTTTAAGTTTTTCTAACCACCTGGAAAATATTCTGTATTATGGCGGAGTTCAAGAAAAACTGGGCTTGTCTCACATTTTATTTTATAAATGGGATATCATTTCATAATATATTTATATTACAAAATATTTTCCAAAGAAAAATGATATTAAAAAATTTGTGTCCGAGTCTATACGCTGATTGTTAAGAAATATATTTCTTAACAATTAGCAATATTTTGCCATGAATAATAGAAATACTATAATTTGCTAATTGCCTTAAGTATAAAATCTTACCATCGCTAAAATCTGTCTGGTGCTAGTGAAGCTATTAGTGGATAGATCGAGGAATAGAAAGTTTAAGGAAGCACTGTTAAATTGCCAAAACGGCGATGTTTTTGTTTTAAAAATATATCTACCAACTGTCCCAAATCAAGTTTACGCGCACGTTCATGTTCAATACTTATTACACCCAAAGCACTAAGTCGCTCCTTGCACATTGTACTACGTAAATATGTTTTTATCAACTTCAACTTTGAAAATGTTCTTTCAGCAGAAGCAGATGTTACCGGTAATGTCAAAAAAAGTTGAAACAACGAACAAACATCCGGAAGACTGCTCAAAATGCATCTGTTTTCTGATATAAAATATGTGGCTAATTCATATATTGTTTTCTTTTTTCGAATTTCATTTGAAAATACACTTTGAAAGTTTATTAATTGCGTAGATAAATTATTCGAGAAGTCATTTTCGTATTTTTCCAATATTTTTTCGACATGATCTATAATTTCTCTGGTAGATAATTTAACGAAACCATCTGGATTTAAAAATAAAAAATAGCTCATTACTTTGTTCATACTGATAAATCGTGTTCTGAGTTGATTAATTATTATATCAAGAGATTTGTAGAAGACTTTAATTTGAAATCTTCTTAGAGAATCTTCTATTCCAGTGTCAGTTGCAAGTTCATCAAAGAATGTCTTGACCATTCTTTGGCGCTTAGATTTCAATTTTGGCTGAATGTTCTACGATGTCGCCAAATTCGTTGCTTCCGCATGCAATATTTCGAAATCGTCTCTAATAGTATTAAAATTATCTATTGTGGAGCTCAATAATTCGCATGCTCGTCCCAGATCAACGGTAGAACTTTGTAGCAGCTTGGACACTAAACTAATATTTTCCAAAATTTTGCTTTGGTATGCCTCCCTCGCTGTCTCCAGCAATAACTTTTTGTGAAATATTCTTTTCTCTAATATCATCTTTTTTATCCTCATTTTCCTGATTTATCCTTGTTTCACCTATGGCTTTAAAAAAACCATCGATCTTGGGCAATTTACCAATTGCTTCCAGTTTTTCTGTCTTTTGTTTTCGTTTTTTAGCACCACTGAGGTATTGTCTAGCTTTATCAGTCATTATTTCTTTTACAAATAAAGATAAACCTCACGGCAAAAAAACAAAGATCACACGAAGACACACAAAAAATTATGTGCGTACCGCGTACGTAAGTAATTAAAAAAAGAAAAACGCGATAACCCGGAACTCACGACAGTATATTGCAACTAAACTGATTTTTATTTTATAGGGGCGTTTTTCCTTTGCATTACCGAATTTATTTTCAAATAAGCCGTCAAAAGAAACCGGCGCGTCGGCAGGGTTCTTTGTACTTTATCGGGTCGGCGAATAAAAAACAAACACATTTTTTGCTGACGGTGTCCGAGCGTGAACTTTTGGTAAAATATATCTATGATTGATTCATATAGTTTTATTTTGGAATAAGATTATTTTTAATTTCAGGCACCTCTTTTCTTTTCTTGTTATCATTTTTTTATTTTTTTTATTATTTATTTAAAGCAATTAGGAATTTTAGCAAGGAGGTCAAAGGGGCCCTTCTGGAGCTGGGGCCCCCCCGCATGGCGGGCCCTGCGGGCCCCTTATCGCCGCCCCTAAGGGTAGGTATACCCAACCAACCGACCCAAATACTATAGATTTTGCCAACCGTGTTTGGATTTGGAACCAACTTCCAAGACTTTGGGGGGGTGACTCCCCCCCCCTACACCCCCCTTAGGCCCGGCCCTGAGCATGGAACTATAAATACGATAATATACTTACGTCTCGTTTGCCACTAGAATAAAACAGGGCTTTACTAAAGAGTTTTTAATTATTATTGATGCATATATATATATATATATATATATATATATATATATACAGGGTGTTATTTAATTAATGTTATATATTAAAATGGGTAGTTCCTTAGGGTCCATAAAGAAGCACCTGAAACTTTTTTTTTCTAAATTCCAAAGACTAAAAATAATTTATAATAACCTTTATCCTACCAAAAAGTACGCCACTGATCGACTAGGAACCGCGGATTAACCTTACCTATTACTTTTTAATGCAGTGTTGCCAAATTTAAAATTAAAAACGTATTACCTTATTTGAGATGCTCAAAATGATTTCATTATTTAGAATGCAAGCTTAAACTCAGCGAAGCATGCTTTCGCGCACCCGCGTAAAAATGTCTGGATTATTTACAATTAAGTTCCTGATTTGCTGCCCAAATCCCGTCTCTCGTAAATTTGGCCTCATCGGTATACAAAACACTACGGCTCCAATCAGCATCTTCTTGATTTTTCTGTATATACCAATGGCAAAACTCCTGAAAGCGCAGCTGATATTGGCATGTTTTATTTAAATAATAATAATTTAATACTTTAATAATAGTTTGAAAAATGAAGTACTTAAAAAACTGCAACCACGAGACGATTATAAGGAATTTTTGAGCTTGTCTCTTGGTGGATTAAATGCGGTCATGGCCCTACACATCATGCTTGATGGATGTCAAAAGCCATTTGTGCCCTAAAGATAATATCATGACCGCATTTAATCCACCAAGAGACAAGCTCAAAAATTCCTTATAATCGTCTCGTGGTTGCAGTTTTTTAAGTACTTCATTTTTCAAACTATTATTAAAGTATTAAATTATTATTATTTACATAAAACATGCCAATATCAGCTGCGCTTTCAGGAGTTTCATCAATAGCTGGTTACGCTTTCTAAGGGCGGTTGAATAGTCAAGCTTTAGGATGATCAGTAGAGCCAAACGAACATGAGAAAGCTACCATAAGTATAATCTTCATGCCACCTATCCAGATAATTTAACATTTAAAATTTTTTTCAAAGCTCTGTAAGGGTCCTGTGGTACCTACATAATCGTTTAAATTCAAATTTGGCGCTATTTTAACCAAGGAAAATTTAAATTATCCACTAAAAATAATATTATAGTTTTAAGTTATTTTATGTTTTAAAAACCGATTGAGTTTATGTTTCACATTCTTGCCTAAGTGGCCGAGATGTTTTAAAAGCTAGATTAGGAAATAGAATAGACAGAGAGTTTTTGCTCGCCCTTCGAGATACTCCTGTTAAACAGTTTGTAAAATATATTATAATATAGCTATAGTTTTTGTGATTGTTACCGATTTTCTGCTATAACTGGGTATGTACACTTTTATAAATTGTAATATTTGCTAGTAATGATAAACAACTCCTCGTTTTGGGTTTTCTTCATACATTTTTGCTTATAATTTTGAACAATATTATTTAATTCGCATTTTGGTCTATCATTGCTAGTTTATTGGGTCCTAATCATTTTAATATGTGTAAATAGCGAGTGA